ATTTCGTCCCAAACAGTAAACACGTGCTCCAGTCCTCTGAACGTGGTTGTACAACCGACCAAAAAGCGGCTCATCCTTGACCTGAGGCACGTGAACAGTTTTCTACGCACATCTAAGTTTCGATACGAATGACTTAATCGTATCCCTGATCTTGTTCAGAAGGGTGATTGGCTATTTACAATCGACCTCAAGTCAGGATACCATCATGTCGACATCCATCCTAGCTATTGGCGCTTTCTCGAATTCTCTTTCCAAGGCGTGGAATATCAGTTTCTCTTTCTCCCGTTTGGGCTCGCGACTGCACCCTTCGTGTTCACTCAGCTCATCAAGCAACTTGCCAAGCGGTGGCGAAGCCGAGGCATTCGAATAGTTCCTTATGTGGATGATATCCTCGTTATCAGTGAGACCCTTTCTAGTGCACTGCAATCTCGGGACACCATTCTACAAGATCTCCGACATGCTGGATTTATTCTCAACACAAAAAAGTCTCAGCTCGAGCCAGTACAAAGCCTCAAATTCCTCGGTCTGCTCCTGGACACCAATGAGCTGTTTTTTTCCGTGGACTCGACACGACGCGCACGCCTTCTGGAGGAAATGCGCCTGACGTGTTTAGAGGGCAGTAATGGGCGCCTCGTCTTGGTTCGCCACCTCGCGCGCATCACAGGAATGCTTGCATCCATGTCGCTCGCGCTCGGCACCGTGGCCCGCGCGTTCTCCCATAATCTGCTCATGCAAATAGCAGAATGTTCATCTTGGAATCACAAAGTTCTCCTCTCCGATAGCTCGGTGGACAAGCTCCGGTTCTGGATGGCGCGATTTGACGAGTTCAATGGCTCTCGCTTTCATAACCCCCACACTTGCGAGGCGCTCATATACGTCGACCTATGACGACTGCATTGCAGACTTCTTTCAGAGTCTTGTCACAATTAGACTATTTTCCACATCCACAACAAGTGTTTCCATTTCGTTCCACGTGGCTCTCAAATTTCGAGCTCCTGAACTCTGCCTGGTACGCCCATTATAGGTGCGCATACTGACCAGACTACCCGGCGCATCACTTTGACTGGTCCACTGAATCGGATGCCTCATCTTTTGTGCTAGTCCACTAGATTAGACTATTTTCCACATCCACAACAAGTGTTTCCATTTCGTTCCACGTGGCTCTCAAATTTCGAGCTCCTGAACTCTGCCTGGTACGCCCATTATAGGTGCGCATACTGACCAGACTACCCGGCGCATCACTTTGACTGGTCCACTGAATCGGATGCCTCTTCTTTTGTGCTATTCCACTAGATTAGACTATTTTTCACATCCACAACAAGTGTTTCCATTTCGTTCCACGTGGTTCTCAAGCTTTGAGCTCCTGAACTCTGCCTCGTAAGCCCATTATAGGTGCGCATACTGACCAGACTACCCGGCGCATCACTTTGACTGGTCCACTGAATCGGATGCCTCTTTTTTTGTGCTAGTCCACTAGATTAGACTATTTTCCACATCCACAACAAGTGTTTCCATTTCGTTCCACCTGGCTCTCAAATTTCGAGCTCCTGGACTCTGCCTGGTACGCCCATTATAGGTGCGCATACTGACCAGACTACCCGACGCATCACTTTGACTGGTCCACTGAATCGGATGCCTCATCTTTTGTGCTAGTCCACTAGATTAGACTATTTTTCACATCCACAACAAGTGTTTCCATTTCGTTCCACGTGGTTCCCAAGTTTTGAGCTCCTGAACTCTGCCTCGTAAGCCCATTATAGGTGCGCATACTGACCAGACTACCCGGCGCATCACTTTGACTGGTCCACTGAATCGGATGCCCCTTTTTTTGTGCTAGTCCGCTAGATCAGACTATTTTCCACATCCACAACAAGTGTTTCACTATTTTTGCCACCTGGCTCTCAAGTTTCGAGCTCCTGGACTCTGCCTGGTACGCCCATTATAGGTGCGCATACTGACCATACTACACGACGCATCACTTTGACTGGTCCACTGAATCGGATGCCTCATCTTTTGTGCTATTCCACTAGATTAGACTATTTTCCACATCCACAACAAGTGTTTCCATTTCGTTCCACGTGGCTCTCAAATTTCGAGCTCCTGAACTCTGCCTGGTACGCCCATGATAAGTGCGCATACTGACCAGACTACCCGGCGCATCACTTTGACTGGTCCACTGAATCGGATGCCTCATCTTTTGTGCTAGTCCACTAGATTAGACTATTTTCCACATCCACAACAAGTGTTTCCATTTCGTTCCACGTGGCTCTCAAATTTCGAGCTCCTGAACTCTGCCTGGTACGCCCATTATAGGTGCGCATACTGACCAGATTTTCCGGCGCATCACTTTGATTGGTCCACTGAATCGGATGCCTCTTCTTTTGTGCTAGTCCACTAGATTAGACTATTTTCCACATCCAGAACAAGTGTTTCTATTTTGTTCCACGTGGCTCTCAAATTACGAGCCCCTGAACTCTGCCTAGTACGCCCACTATAGGTGCGCACAACTTGACTGGTCCACTGAATCAGATGCCTCTTCTTTTGTGCTAGTCCACTAGATTATATTATTTTCCACATCCACAACAAGTGTTTCCATTTCGTTCCACCTGGCTCTCAAATTTTGAGCCCCTTGACTCTGCCTAGTACGCCCATTATAGGTGCGCATACTGACCAGACTACCCGGCGCATCACTTTGACTGGTCCACTGAAACGGATGCCTCTTCTTTTGTGCTAGTCCACTAGATTTGACTATTTTCCACATCCACAACAAGTGTTTCTATTTCGTTCCACCTGGCTCTCAAATTTCGAGCCCCTTGACTCTGCCTGGTACGCCCATTATAGGTGCGCATACTGACCAGACTACCCGGCGCATCACTTTGACTGGTCCACTGAATCGGATGCCTCATTTTTTGTGCTAGTCCACTAGATTAGACTATTTTCCACATCCACAACAAGTGTTTCCATTTCGTTCCACGTGGCTCTCAAATTTCGAGCTCCTAAACTCTGCCTGGTACGCCCATTATAGGTGCGCATACTGACCAGACTGTCGGCGCATCACTTTGATTGGTCCACTGAATCGGATGCCTCTTCTTTTGTGCTAGTCCTCTAGTTTAGACTATTTTCCACATCCACAACAAGTGTTTCCATTTCGTTCCACGTGGCTCTCAAATTTCGAGCTCCTGAACTCTGCCTGGTACGCCCATTATAGGTGCGCACACCTTGACTGGTCCACTGAATCGGATGCCTCTTCTTTTGTGCTAGTCCACTAGATTATACTATTTTCCACATCCACAACAAGTGTTTCCATTTCGTTCCACCTGGCTCTCAAATTTCGAGCCCCTTGACTCTGCCTAGTACGCCCATTATAGGTGCGCATACTGACCAGACTACCCGACGCATCACTAAGACTGGTCCACTGAATCGGATGCCTCATCTTTTGTGCTAGTCCACTAGATTATACTATTTTCCACATCCACAACAAGTGTTTCCATTTCGTTCCACGTGGTTCCCAAGTTTTGAGCTCCTGAACTCTGCCTCGTAAGCCCATTATAGCTGCGCATACTGACCAGAGTGCCCGGCGCATCACTTTGACTGGTCCACTGAATCGGATGCCCCTTTTTTTGTGCTAGTCCGCTAGATCAGACTATTTTCCACATCCACAACAAGTGTTTCACTATTTTTGCCACCTGGCTCTCAAATTTCGAGCTCCTGGACTCTGCCTGGTACGCCCATTATAGGTGCGCATACTGACCAGACTACCCGACGCATCACTTTGACTGGTCCACTGAATCGAATGTTTCTTCTTTTGTGCTACTCCACTAGATTAGCCTTTTTTCCACATCCATAACAAGTGTCGGATGCCTCTTCTTTTGTGCTAGTCCACAAGATTAGCCTATTTTCCAGACCCACAAAAAGTGTTTCCATTTCGTTCCACGTGGTTCTCAAATTTTGAGCTCCTGAACTCTGCCTGGTACACCTATTATAGGTGCGCATACTGACCAGACTACCCGACGCATCACTTTGACTGGTCCACTGAATCGGATGCCTCATCTAGTGTACTAGTCCACTAGATTAAACTATTTTCCACATCCACAACAAGTGTTTCCATTTCGTTCTGTCAAACATTATATGTGTTGTGCTTGTTTAGGCTGCAGTGGGTTAGCCTATAGGGGGTACACAATTCTAGGGTTAGGTACTTGTACTCATTTCACTGCTAGTTCACTCATTCCTCGTTCAGTTATTCTGACATGGTTTCAGAGCAGGTCCTTTGCTAGGACCTAAGTTTTTTTTCCGGGCCCACCTCTACTACCTACTTCCTACCTACTGTCGGAGTGCTGCGTTAGCGCCTCCCCCTCAGCGCCCTCGTGCGCCCTCGTGTACGGCCCCTTAAGGCCCCGTCGACCCCGCACGCTGCCCCTTAGTGGCCCCGTCGCACCCGCGCGCGCCCCGATTCCGGCCCGCTTGGCCCCGTCGACCCCGCGCGCACCCCGTTTAGCGGCCCCGCGGCCCCGTCGACCCACCCTAGAGGCCCCGCGGCCCCGCGCGCACCCCGTTTAGCGGCCCCGCGGCCCCGTCGACCCACCCTAGAGGCCCCGCGGCCCCGCGCGCACCCCGTTTAGCGGCCCCGCGGCCCCGTCGCCCCACACCTAGAGGCCCCGCGGCCCCGCGCGCACCCCGTTTAGCGGCCCCGCGGCCCCGTCGACCCTCAACTAGAGGCCCCGCGGCCCCGCGCGCACCCCGTTTAGCGGCCCCGTGGCCCCGTCGCCCGCCACCTCACGGCCCCGCGACCCTCCTGCGCCCCGCTTAGCGGCCCCTCGGCCCCGTCGAGCCCCGCTTAACAGCTCCGCGCAACCGAACCGAGCCGCGCCGCCCTACCTGAACCGAGCCGCGCCGTCAGACCGAGCCGCGCCGCCCGTACCAGCAGCCCCGTCGATACTGCTGCTCCTCCTATTTCTTCTACGGCTACTACTACTGTTCCTACTGCAACTACTGCTGCCACTATGGCCAGTCCTCCCGTACTTGCTTTCGATGCTGAGGGCCGCCCAGTGAAATTTGACACCTGGCTAGATGACCTGCACCTCTTCCTACAGCTCACTGCCAAGGAGGATATTTCGCTGTACGATCATGCCCTCGGTCACGCTACTGCCCCTCCTACCACTGCAGACAGCACTCAGCGCTCACAGTGGCAGACTCGTGACGCCCACGCTCGCTTCGCTATTCGCAACTCCCTGCCACTAGATGAGCGCGAGCACTTTGGCCAGCACAAGACTGCTAAGGACCTGTACACTGCTGTCGTTGCTCGTTACTCCTCACCTGCCTCTGCCGCACTAGGCCGCCTCACCCTCCCATACCTGTTCCCCGACCTGGCCTCCTTCAGCACAGTCGCTGACCTCATCACCCACCTCAGGACCAGTGAGGCCCGCTTTCGCGCTGCTATGCCTGACGAGTTCCTTGCCACCAACCCCCCCCCCCCGCTCTGGATCACACTCTACCACATCGTCACCCGCCTCCCTGACTCTCTGCGCGCAGTCAGGGATCACTTCCTCGCTCGCTCTCCCACTGAGCTCACCATTGCCCTCCTCGAGAAGGAATTGCTGAGCTGAGACGAGCATCGTCGCTGTAGGCACCTCTCGTGGCGACCCCCGCACCCCGTTCTTTGAGGGGTGTTCCCCTTCCCCTCTCCTCCCCTCTGTCGCCTCTGCTGCTGCTGTCGACCTCCTTGGTGCTGAGAAGGTCGGGGCTGCGTCTGCTCCGAGCGGGCGCCGCAGGGGCAAAGGGGGCAAGGGTGGAGGTGGCGGCGGGGGAGGCGGGAGTGGTGGCGGTGGGGGTGGCGGTGGGACTGGAGAGGCTAGTGGCGGCAGTGGGGGTGGTGACAGCAGCGGCGGGAGCGGTGGCAGGGGCGGAGGCGGCAGCGGAGGCGGAGGTGGTCGTGGCGGCGGCAGGGGTGGAGGTGGCCGGGGCGGTGGCGGCGGCGGTGGTGGTCGTGGAGGCGCTGGCGGTGGACAGAGTCAGCAGCCCGCCCCGTCGCTTCAGGCCGCCCGTGAGTGGTATGCACAGCGTGGCTTTACCTGCACGTACGTCATTCGCACTGGTGACCGCACTGGCCAGCAGTGTGGGAGGCCGCATCCCACACAGCGCTGTTTCGCGCGCCTTACTGACGCGTGGCGTGCCCAGTTTCCTGATGCCACTGACCTGCCCCACTGGGCTGATCTGGAGAAGAAGGGAGTTGATATCTGGGCTTTAGACTTTGATGCTATTCTCACTGCCATGTATGCGATGTTTACTAGTGGAGAGGGTGCTCAGTACTTGCGTGTTCCGCCCGACCCGGGCATTCTGACCAGTCCGGCTGCCGCTCTAGGTGCTAGTGAGTCTGCTGCCCCAGGTCCTGGTGAGGCTGCTGCTCTAGGTGCTAGTGAGTCCGTGCCCTCTGGTACTGAGTCGACTGCAGCACTGCACACCTTCACACTGGACTCAGGTGCTTCTCGCTGTTTCTTTCGTGACCGCACTGTCCTTGAGCCGCTTGCTCGGCCAGTTGCTGTCTCCCTCGCTGACCCCTCTGGGGGTCCGGTCGTTGCGACCTCCTCCACTGTCCTTCCTTGTCCTGCGGTCCCGTCAGGCACACTGTCAGGCCTCTACCTCCCCTCGTTCTCCACGAACTTGGTGGCAGGTAGTGCGCTCCAGGACGGGGGTGTTCACCAGTTCACCCCTGCGTACGAGCGCGTGACCCACTGCACGTGTGCTCGGACGGGCCGTCACCTGGCTACCTTCACTCGGCAGCCGGGGTCGGACCTGTACACACTGACCACTGAGTCCCCTCAGGTAGCTGCGTCTTCGGAGTGGTGCTCCTGGTGCTGCGGACCCTGGGGGTGGCGCTGCTGCTGGTGCTGAGGACCCGGGCGTTGGAGCTGCTGCTGGTGCTGCGGACCCGAGCGGTGGCGCGGCTGCTGGTGCTGAGGACCCGGGCGTTGGCGCTACTGCTGGAGCTGAGGACCCGGACGGTGGAGCTGCTGCTGGTGCTGAGGACCCGAGCGGTGGCGCTGCTGCTGGTGCTGAGGACCCGGGCGTTGGAGCTACTGCTGGAGCTGAGCACCCGGACGGTGGAGCTGCTGCTGGTGCTGAGGACCCGAGCGGTGGAGCTGCTGCTGGTGCTGAGGACCCGGACGTTGGAGCTGCTGCTGGTGCTGAGGACCCTGTCGCTGGTGTCCCTGCTGGTTCTGGAGACGCTACGCGACCGCGACCGTACTTCGTACCACTTCTTCAGCAGGTTCTTGGTCAGGCTCCTCCTCCTTGTCCTCCTTCCTCCGTAGAGTGTCCTCCGCCTGTCCAGTCACAGTCACAGTTCCCGCCTGCCTCGCCTCTCCCTGCTCCCTCTCCTTACACTGGTCCCACGGGAGGTCTTACAGAGCGTCGTGAGCCTGAGTCTCGTCCTGCGTCGCCTGTTCGTACTGCTCGCACTGGTCGTCGTGTCCCACGTGAGCGTCCTCCTCCTGTCCCTGGCACTCACTACATGACTCTGCGTCCCTCCACTGCTCCTCAGCGTGTTCCGCTGCCGTCTCCTCCTGCGTCCTCTCTGCCTACTCTTCCTGATCCGGAGTCTGACTCCCGTCGTGCTGCCAGTCCCACTGTCACCCGTCTCCTCGCTACTGTTGTCACTGACCCTACCTTTGAGTCCTCTGCTGCGTCTGCTCTGGTCGCTGAGCTGATAGACTTTGCTGCCCGGTGTCGTCTAGACTACGCCACTAGCCTTGTTGCTGAGTCTGAGTCTGAGTCTGTCTGTCCTCCGTCCGTCGGGGGTGAGTGTGCTCTTGGCACGGACGTCCTTGAGGACAGACAGGAGGAGTTCCAGTGCTTTGCTGCTGCTTTACCCCACCTCGTGTCCATGCTAGTTGCCCCTGAGGGAGACCCGGATGCACCAGACATCCCGACCCCGCGCACTTACGCTGAGGCGATGGCGGGTCCCTACTCCTCTCAGTGGCAGACAGCCATGGACGCAGAGATGGCTTCCTAGAAGTCCACACGCACCTACGTCGACGAGGTTCCCCCACCTGGGGCGAACATCGTCAGTGGCATGTGGATTTTCAGGGTGAAGCGGCCACCGGGTTCTCCTCCGGTCTTCAAGGCGCGCTACGTGGCTCGAGGCTTCAGTCAGCGAGAGGGAGTTGACTTCTTCCAGACCTTCTCCCCCACCCCGAAGATGACCACTCTTCGGGTGCTGCTGCACATAGCCGCTCAGCGCGACTACGAGCTTCACTCGCTTGACTTCAGCACTGCTTTCTTGCAGGGCAGCCTGCACGAGGAGATCTGGCTGCGCCGCCCTCCTGGCTTCACTGGGTCGGTTCCTCCTGGTACCCAGTGGAGGCTTCAGCGGCCGGTCTACGGTCTCCGCCAGGCACCACGTGAGTGGCACGACACACTGAGGACGACACTTGCGGCTCTTGGGTTCGCTCCCTCTACTGCTGACCCGTCACTGTTTCTACGCACAGACACCTCACTGCTGCCGTTCTACATCCTCGTGTACGTCGACGACTTGGTCTTTGCCACTGCTGACACCGCGGCACTCGCCCACGTGAAGTCGGAGCTGCAGAGGAGACACACGTGCACAGACCTGGGTGAACTGACAAGCTATCTTGGCTTGCGGATCACCCGGGACAGAGCACGGCGCACCATCACCTTGACTCAGTCACACATGGTGCAGCAGATCCTTCAGCGCTTCCGCTTCACGTACTCCTCGCCTCAGTCCACTCCTCTGCCTACCGGTCACTCGCTCTCAGCTCTGCCTTCGGATGAGTCCGTAGAGCCGAGTGGCCCGTATCCAGAGCTTGTGGGCTGCCTCATGTACCTGATGACCTGCACTCGACCTGACCTTGCATACCCTCTATGTCGCTCCTGGCCGTCACAGGAAGGAGCACATGGATGCCGCTAAGAGGGTGTTGCGCTACTTGTGCAGTACGTCGGGCATGGGGCTAGTGCTTGGAGGGCGAGACCGAGTTGTACTTACTGGACACTCAGACGCTTCTTGGGCGGACGACCAGGCTACTCAGCGGTCGTCTCAGGGTTACACCTTCAGCCTTGGCTCCGGCTCAGTTTCTTGGCGTTCTACACGCTCTTCTTCTGTTCTCAGCTCCAGTTGTGAGGCTGAGATCTACGCCACAGCCATGGCTGCCCAGGAGCTACGCTGGCTGACCTACCTGCTGACCGACTTGGGAGAGCGGCCTCGTTCTCCTCCAGTGCTGTACGTCGACAACCAGGCTGCCATTGCCTTGTGTGAGGAGCACAGACTGGAGCACAGAACGAAGCACATCGCCCTACGGTACTTCCTTGCTCGAGAGCTGCAGCAGCGTGGTCAGCTTCGTCTGTGTTACGTGGCCACTGAGGCCAACCTTGCGGATGTGTTCACCAAGGCGCTTCAGCCTTGTGACCATCAGCGTTTCTGTACTCTTCTAGGCCTTGTGCCTGCTGGACCCCACTTGCTTACTTCTTGACTCTGCTTGTACTGTGATCTTTATATATATGCCTGCATGTTTACACTTGCTAGGTTGTTATCACTGTTTCTCTTGTTATATTATCAACCTGCATGTGAACTGGTCTTGTGACCACTTGCTTGTGCTCGGAATTTGTGTGGTATCCTTGAGATCCACCCTGAGCTTGCTTTGCTTTGACTGGTCTTGTGACCCCTTGCTCTCCCCCACTTTGCCTATGGGGGTGTGTCAAACATTATATGTGTTGTGCTTGTTTAGGCTGCAGTGGGTTAGCCTATAGGGGGTACACAATTCTAGGGTTAGGTACTTGTACTCATTTCACTGCTAGTTCACTCATTCCTCGTTCAGTTATTCTGACACGTTCCACCTGGCTCTCAAATTTCGAGCCCCTTGACTCTGCCTGGTACGCCCATTATAGGTGCGCATACTGACCAGACTACCCGGCGCATCACTTTGACTGGTCCACTGAATCAGATGCCTCATCTTTTGTGCTAGTCCACTAGATTAGACTATTTTCCACATCCACAACAAGTGTTTCCATTTCGTTCCACGTGGCTCTCAAATTTCGAGCTCCTGAACTCTGCCTGGTACGCCCATTATAGGTGCGCATACTGACCAGACTGTCGGCGCATCACTTTGACTGGTCCACTGAATCGGATGCCTCATCTTTTGTGCTAGTCCACTAGATTAGACTTTTTTCCACATCCACAACAAGTGTTTCCATTTCGTTCCACGTGGCTCTCAAATTTCGAGCTCCTGAACTCTGCCTGGTACGCCCATTAGAGGTGCACAGACCTTGACTGGTCCACTGAATCGGATGCCTCTTCTTTTGTGCTAGTCCACTAGATTATACTATTTTCCACATCCACAACAAATGTTTCCATTTCGTTCGACGTGGCTCTCAAATTTCGAGCCCTTGAACTCTGCCTCGTAAGCTCATTATAGGTGCGCATACTGACCAGACTACCCGGCGCATCACTTTGACTGGTCCACTGAATCGGATGCCTCGTTTTCTGTGCTAGTCCACTAGATTAGACTATTTTTCACATCCACAACAAGTGTTTCCATTTCGTTCCACCTGGCTCTCAAATTTCAAGTTCCTGGACTCTGCCTGGTACGCCCATTATAAGTGCGCATACTGACCAGACTACCCGACGCATCACTTTGACTGGTCCACTGAATCGGATGCCTCTTCTTTTGTGCTAGTCCACTAGATTAGCCTTTTTTCCACATCCACAACAAGTGTTTCCATTTCGTTCCACGTGGCTCTCAAATTTCGAGCTCCTGAACTCTGCCTGGTACGCCCATTATAGGTGCGCATACTGACCAGACTACCCGGCGCATCACTTTGACTGGTCCACTGAATCGGATGCCTCTTCTTTTGTGCTAGTCCACTAGATTAGACTATTTTCCACATCCACAACAAGTGTTTCCATTTCGTTCCACGTGGATCTCGAAATTCGAGCTCCTGAACTCTGCCTGGTACGCCCATTATAGGTGCGCATACTGACCAGACTACCCGGCGCATCACTTTGACTGGTCCACTGAATCGGATGCCTCTTATTTTGTGCTAGTCCACTAGATTATACTATTTTCCACATCCACAACAAGTGTTTCCATTTCGTTCCACGTGGATCTCGAAATTCGAGCTACTGAACTCTGCCTGGTACGCCCATTATAAGTGCGCATACTGACCAGACTACCCGACGCATCACTTTGACTGGTCCACTGAATCGGATGCCTCTTCTTTTGTGCTAGTCCACTAGACTAGACTTTTTTCCACATCCACAACAAGTGTTTCCATTCCGTTCCACGTGGATCTCGAAATTCTGAGCTCCTGCACTCTGCCTGGTACGGCCATTATAGGTGCGCGTATTGACCAAACTTCCCGGCGCATCACTTTGACTGGTCCACTGAATCGGATGCCTCTTCTTTTGTGCTAGTCAACTAGATAAGACTATTTTCCACATCCACAATAAGCATTTGAATTTCGGTCCACGTGACTCTCAAAATTTGAGCTCCTGAACTCTGCATGGTACGCCCATTATGGGTGCGCATACTGACCAGACTTCCCAGCGCATCACTTTGACTGGTCCACTGAATCGGATGCCTCTTCTTTTGTGCTAGTCCACTAGATTAGACTATTTTCCACATCCACAACAAGCGTTTCCATTTCGGTCCACGTGGATCTCAAATTTCGAGCTCCAGAACTCTGCCTGGTACGCCCTTTCAAGGTGCGCATACTGACCAGACTACCCGACGCATCACTTTGACTGGTCCACTGAATCGGATGCCTCTTCTTTTGTGCTAGTCCACTAGATTAGACTATTTTCCACATCCACAACAAGCGTTTCCATTTCGATCTGTCCGAAAATATTAGTTATATTTTCTATATGTAACAGCCTGTAGGATTGGGTACTGTAGTTATAGCCTTTCTAGTTGGTGGTGCACCATTCTTGCTTGTGCTTGCTTATTTGTACTGTTTGCTCTATAGTGAACTCCCTCTTTTACTGGTCCAAGTCTCTCTCGCTACTCTCGCTTTGGTCAAACCCTAGCCATGACGCCTAAGCTTAATCTACTATTTTAACATGGTATCGAGCTAGTTTTCGATCAATGGGCCCACCAAATTTCGACCCTGTCATGGCGGCCCTTCTTCCCAACGATTTTCTGCTGCTATCGTGCCGTCAATGCGACCGTCGCGTTGAAATCCGCGACGGTCTTGATCGTCAGCGCGATCGACGGGGCGAAGGCGGCGCTCTGCTCGTCGCGCTGCCTCATCGCCCTGTCGTTCGCGGCCACGCTGCCCCGTCGCCGCTTCGTCGCGCCTCCGTTACGGCCCTCTGTCCCGCTCGTCGCGCCCGAGAAATTGTCCCCTCCCACCCGCCCGCCGGTCCCGCTGCAGCTGTCGCACTTGCTGCTGCCGTGCGCGCTCCTGCTGTGGGGGGAGGTCGTGGGCATGGCGGACAGTGGTGGAGGTGGTGTGATGGGGTGGCCGCTGTGAGCCGCCAGCAGCACCCGCCGTCGCCCTTTATCGCCCCATACGCGACTATCGCCCCATACACGATCCACGTGGCTCTCAAATTTCGAGCTCCTGAACTCTGCCTGGTACGCCCATTATAGGTGCGCATACTGACCAGACTACCCGACGCATCACTTTGACTGGTCCACTGAATCGGATGTTGTTCAGGATCCGTCACTTCGAGAACTTACGACGAACTCATTACTCAACTATACGCAAATTCGCTTGGTAGGATGTTGCGCCTTAGGCTTAGCTACCATCTCCAATTTGAATCACTTAAAAAGATGGTCTATAGAGTGAGAACCATTCGAAAACGTCTAAAATTTGCATGACTAGAGTGGTGGAGGAAGTACAAGCATGAAGCATAGAAAGGTTGGATTTGGGAACCTCCAAGAGAACCATGAGAGGGAAGGGGTTCTCCAAGAGCTAGGGAAGGATGGTAGGAACCTTTTTAGCAGCAAGGATGCAACCCTCATCATGAGGTCCTTGAGGTGTCACATGCAAAATCCAATCTAGTTGGATTTTGCCTAGGTGTTGCAACATTTGCAACCCATGCTAGAAACTTCTAGCCACCCCAATCCAAAAGTCAAAGTTGCCTTCTTAACCACCCAACCAAATATCCCTTTCTAGTCATGAACCAATATCACCCAATATAGTTAATATCACAACATGAGATAGAATTCCCAAAACTTGGAAATCTTGTAACTTGGGCGATCTTGGTCAGAATAAGGCGATCTTGGTATCGTTGGAAAGCTCTGATGTCATCGGCGCTTGCAAATGAAGAGACCCCGCTGCACTTCGTGCACATGTGCGGATCCTTCCGCGTTTTGGGGGTACTAGCGCTCGTTCCGATCGTTTTTTGTTAAACCGGATCACGTGGTTGCGCTTGTCTGGTCCTCTTGCCAAGCCAGCAAGGGCGTGGGAGGGTTGCGAGCATCATCGGTCATCGGCGCTCGCGAATGAAGAGCGCCCGCTGCACTTCCTGCACATGTGCGGATCCTTCCGCGTTTTGGGGGTACTAGCGCTCGTTTATAGAGTTTTTCTTCCGCCGGGTCACGTGGTTGCGCTTGTCTTGTCCTCTTGCCAAGCCAGCAAGGGCGTGGGAGGATTGCGAGCATCATCGGTCATCGGCGCTCGCGAATGAAGAGCGTCCGCTGCACTTCCTGCACATGTGCGGATCCTTCCGCATTTTGGGGGTGGAGGTGGTAGTTCCAAGCGTTTTTCTTCCGCCGGGTCACGTGGCTGCGCTTGTCTGGTCCTCTTGCCAAGCCAGCAAGGGCGTGGGAGGGTTGCGAGCATCATCGGTCATCGGCGTTCGCGAATGAAGAGCGCCCGCTGCACTTTGTGCACATGTGCGGATCCTTCCGCGTTTTGGGGGTACTAGCGCTCGTTCCAAGCGTTTTTCTTCCACCGGGTCACGTGGCTGCGCGTTTCTGGTCGTCTTGCCAAGCCAGAAAGGGCGTGGGAGGGTTGCGAGCATCATCAGTCATCGGCGCTCGTGAATGAAGAGCGACCGCTGCACTTCCTGCACATGTGCGGATCCTTCCGCATTTTGGGGGTGGGCGCTCGTTCCGAGCGTTTTTCTTCTGCCGGGTCACGTGGCTGCGCTTGTTTGGTCCTCTTGCCAAGCCAACAAGGGCGTGGGAGGGTTGCGAGCATCATCGGTCATCGCCGCTCGCGAATGAAGAGCGCCCGCTGCACTTCGTGCACATGTGCGGATCCTTCCGCGTTTTGGGGGTACTAGCGCTCGTTCCGAGCGTTTTTCTTCCACCGGGTCACGTGGCTGCGCTTGTCTCGTCCTCTTGCCAAGCCAGCAAGGGCGTGGGAGGGTTGCGAGCATCATCGGTCATCGGCGCTCGCGAATGAAGAGCGACCGCTGCACTTCGTGCACATGTGCGGATCCTTCCGCGTTTTGGGGGTACTAGCGCTCGTTCCGAGCGTTTTTCTTCCACCGGGTCACGTGGCTGCGCTTGTCTCGTCCTCT